GCGTCCTGTCCCCTCCCCACTCTTATCAAAAGTCCCTTCGCAGCGCCGTGGATCGGTGTTGACGAGGCTCTGTTGCCCCCCTGGACCAGTGGTCTGATCATTTTCTCATCGCTCCCTCATGTTTTCGTGTTCGGGCGACGTCATCAAGGTATGTACCACGGTGGGAGTTACTGCAAGATGCCTCCGCCGGCCAGGGTGGCAGGGTGTTTGGTCATCTGGTTCCACCATAGTCCGCACGGGCGGAACATGTATGCATGTATGTATCTCGGTGTTATTCACACCTATTCTCACTCCCCCGTTACTCTAAATACGCCGCTGGTGTAGTTTTAGTTCCGTGAACGATGGCAAAAAATCCCCAAGATCGCAGATCGAATGCTCGCCTCAGCATGCTCCCAGGAGTAATGACTCTATTAGTTATCGCTTGCATTCGGACCAAAACGTTACGGCACGCTCCCATTTCATCCTCGTTGCACAGGCAAACGGTTCACCCAGGGAATCCAGTATTTCCCATAGAACCGGCTCCTACACTCGCCATCGGAACCTCCTCTTTCATACCAGCTGGCCCCTGTCCATACATCAAAAATTGCAACCCCAGATACGAGTCACAACAAGCCTGGAAGATGCCGCAGAGACGGAAGGGCCACGGCACAAACTCTTTGCTGAGAAAGAAATAACTCATTTTCATCGCGTCACCCGCCAGCCAGTTGATGATGACTGAGAGGCGAAACCCTTTGCAAGACCGGGCGCGGTGGTTCTTGAGAATCTGAGGGATAGGAAGGATGGCTTCGACCGCCAGCCCAACGTAGCCCAGAAAGGTGACGTAAAACGGTGTCCGGGATAGGAAAGGCAGGAAAATATGGATGAAGAGGAGGCTCATGGTAAAGTACAGGAGGAAGACAAAGTACCTGTTTCCCATTCTCCGCTGTCAGCATATCACGCAAAGGAAAGCAAAAGGAGAAGCGTGGAACCGAGCATTTTGAACGGTTAGAGCTTACGGCTTGGTGGCATTCCATTGCCAAAACCCAAATGGTCTCCTTCCCTCCATCAAGAAATCCCACAGGACTCCTTTATTCCCCGGGCTGTTGTGGGTATATCCATGAAATGGGGTATGGTGTATTCCGCCTTTTTCGCTGTCACCAGTTGGTGCCCGGTTGTCTAGCGCGACCTTTAGGAGGATGAGTTGCACAATTATCATGAGCGAAGCTTGGATGAGGAGCGATTTGTCGTAGTAGGCTCCGAACCAATAGAAAACCCTATTTAACGCGCAACGTTGTCAACCCCCTTCTTTTCAAAGTTACATATTCCTGGATTGGATCCCAGGCGCATGAGGGGCAGGAGAGGCGTTGCGCGTACTTGAGAATCGACGCAACCAGCATAATGAGCGGGATATCGAGGGAGAAGCCATCGCAAGATTTTTTCCGATGTATCGACGCGATTTGATCGGCGTAGGATGTAATGGGCGACAAGACTAAACTGTTTCACGGGTATCAATCAGTTCAAACATATATCAAATCAGTACGGCAACAACTCACAATAAGGGCGCAAGATAGTCCACGAGTAACTGGACCAGTCCCCACATCTTGTCGATGTCTACCCAGGCAAGCAAAGAGACAGAGTGGTCTTCTACAGCGACCCCCATTGTCTCCGTTCAGCAAAGGAAAGTCCAGTATTACCGTAGCAGGAAAACGCGGTACGCTGCCCACAAAGGGATATACACACCTTAACAATACATTTGGTAAAAAGAAATAAAAATGGAGGAACAGGCACAGTCAGCGCCGGGGTCTCCGCAAGTGAAATCTGTGGTTCTGTGGTTACTGGGTGACGACGTGATCCGAGAGATCCTGAACTTGGGCAGATGCTGTCCAGGAACAAGTAAAGCGCAGATCAATTGGTACGATGTGATTGGCGGAATGATCGGAGGATCACGTCTCCTCCCAGGTCACGTGTGAGGCAGCCCCCTGTCTGTCTCTCCTGAACTTTTTCGATATCAGTTGGGTTTTTGGTCATCGATGTGCTTAGTCCAGAGCAGTTCATCGCCGTATTTTGGCCTGGAAGGCTCAAATCCCATCTCACATGGATAATTCTATTCTCAGGATTGACAAGAAAGCCAAAAACCGAAGCTGCGTCATAATTGTTCCGAGATCTCGTGGCTCTGGATGCTTATTGTCGCACAAGCCTCGCCGAGCACAATCCTACTTCAGGTTTCCAGTATTATATTATCAATTGATTTGATCATAGTATCACGCAGCTGGTCAAAGAAATCCACATCTCTCGGAGTAACTCTAACAGACTAACTCTAATCCAACTGAAAATGTTAATGGTTATTTTGGGATTCTCTTTCAAGACGACCTCCACGCCACATCATCTCATCACATCGGTACCATTATCTCGGGCTATGACCAGCCTATTCAGGTGGTTTCAGAACCTGGTGGTGCGCGTGAAGGTAAGCGAAAGAACATGTTGAAATAAGCGCCCAGTGGACAATCTGTTTACCGCTGGAATTTAGTCGACCCTTGTCTCGGCCACACCACCGTACAACGCAATGGACTATGGCTTCGTATCGTGCTAGACCTGTGTTCGTATTCCCCCAAGCGTTCGAAACACAACATATTGGAGTCGTGAGCGAAACAAGCAATTCTCTGCGCGGATTGTTCATGATTGAAGAACTGTTTGGGTCATTCAAACCCTGTTCAATCGTGATGTTCTGTCATGTGCTTGGCAGGGCCTGATCTTTCCTTGTCAGTGGCTGAGTTTTGACTACTACTACCTCGTACACCTAAAGCCTGGCCAAATCGCACGCTCAAGATCTTGGAAGGGGCTCTTTTGTTCAGGCGGGCCGCCGAGCTCAACCAAAGTACATACCTACCTGGGGGCCGAATGCTCTCCCGCAATGCATTTTATGGTCCTCCAATGCATTTCCTGCTCTGATCAACCAGTCTAGAGACTTTAAACTCTCCCAAGACGGCGAGACTCTTCCCGTGTTTCGACCCCTGGCTCCCTTTCACCTGCACCAATCAATCTAGAGCAAGCAAAAAGCGCAGGTTCAGCATTTCCTTCATACTTTCTGGGCTGGAACCGCCACAGCTGTGTCAGGAGCTCTGAAAGGTGTGCACTTGCGAGCGAAAGCGACCAAAATCCTGTCCAGGGTCGGGTTAAAAACAGATCAAACTATGGCATTCCTGACTAATTAAGCCGCTCTTGCTTGAGGTCGAGGACAAGACCCAAACTCTCCGTGTTCGAGGATACCGACGCTTGAAAGAGTACATGTCGGACGCCCAATATATGCTACCGATGGCGGCCTCACACCCCTCAATCACTGCCATTCCTGCTGCCAGAGCTTCGTGTGCCCTGCCATCGGCATATCTTCAGCCGGCTCTTTGAGGTCAGGGTATTCAGGCACTGATGGACATAATGCTCTTTTTGCTCTTTTTGGCATTAATCGTGGGCGCCGCCGCTCAAGACCAAGAGAACATCTTCCTCAATCCGCCGACCAACGGGGTCAACAACGATTTCACGCAAAATCCCACCTATGTCCAGGGATCGACCATCACGCTTCAGTGGGAAACGACGTACCCATCAACGGACCTGGTGATCTGGCAGAATGGCAATCCAAATAGTCAGCTCTTGGCAGGTGAGAAGAATACCTTCCCTGAGACTCCTAACGCACGAAATCTTGGGATTGGCTATACTAAGTTGCACGACTGGATTCTATAGCGGGCATCACGACAACGAAACTTAGCTGGACCGTAGGAGCTGGGGCAATCCCGCCCTTTGACCTGAGCGACGGCAGTGTGTTTTTCTTCCAAATGTACAACTCATCAACGTCCACCTTCTTCAGCAGCCATTACTTCAACGTCAGCGATCCGTCGCTAGCTTCAACCACGTCCACCGGTCCCTCGAGCACTACGACACCGCCGCCATCTACATCGACCCGAGCACCGAGTTCGTCAGGGAGCAACTCCTCCACAACATCTAGAGTGACGCCCACGCCGACCGTATCCCCAGAGTCATCCAATGATGGCAGCAGCAGCAGCAGTAGCAATAACGACAACAAACTTGGAATTGGCCTAGGCATTGGGATCGGGGTCTGCGCGTTCCTCATCCTAGTTGCCGGGCTAGTGTGGTACATTTGCAGAAGGCGCCGACGGCAGCAGGAGGCGAAAGGACCACTACTGCCGAAAGCAGTCGAGGCGCCGTCATCAGAGACCGCGTCGGTCTATCCCACCGCCATGAGCTACGGTCACCCACCCTCAGAGCACAGAAGGTACGAACTCGGCTCGACCGCGATGGACCGGACACAGGCGGAACTGGATGGCAGTGGCAGTGGTAGTGGCGGCAGCACGAAGGCTGTGTAGTATAGCGACACCACATCATATCACATCACATTGCAGCACTTCATGTCCTTGGGACGAGTGAGGCACGGACACAGGCAGAGGAGTAGATATGGGATGGCCCGATGATGTATGTACATTATGAGATGTCAAGGAGTTCATACCAACCAAACATGCAAGGATATCATAAGACGGCGGTTTTATTTCTATTCTCTCTCTGACAGCCTTCTGAAATCTATGTACATTATAGTTTGACTTGCGCATTCTCTCATTTACACAAGTTCGAAAAGGCTTCTTTCACACTCATCTTTAGAGAGAAAAAAGCACCCTTGGTTCTTTCAGAGGTGTATTCGGTACATGTACAATATACCTACCTAGACTCATCTGCACGCACTGCTTTAGTCCAAGTTCATCGGGTACGTTCTTCGTACTGTACGTGGCCTCCTTACGTCCATGGCTGGGGTTAGATATGGATGTGCGCCTAGTCGAAAGTAACATGGCATGTGGTCCATAAGTGATAGAGACTCCGTCAGTTGAGTACATATACAGCATAATGTCTGTGTTATGTTTGATTAATCAATCAATCAATCACTTCTTTACGTCAATCATTCATTTCTTATGGAATTTGTGCCTTCCATCTATCTCTTGTTGTAGTGTTATACAGACTTTTTACAAGTCAGTCTTTGGCCTGGAGGAGCTCGCGCTCTCGGGGAACTGCACAGTCCAATCCACGCCAATGCTAGTCCCGGGACTCCTGATCACGGCCCAGGCAGCCTTGTTCCCCTGCGCCGCATGATAACTCATATCGACCTTTCGGTCACCCTTGACCCCGTCCTCTGACACGGTGAGCTCTGTGGTTGACGACCACGCAGCAGGCGCGTTGACCACGATGATCTTCTCAATCTTGACTTCCTTCATCGTCTTCAGATACCCAGCAGTCTTCGGTCCTTTCGTGCCAATGTCGCGGCTCCGAAGAGCTCCATCCCCGAATGAGAACTGGCGATGGATATACGCCCCCTGCTGATACTCAAACGTTTCTCCGTCGTCCACGTACAGCGTGCCCTCTGCTTTCTCACCATGCTTATCCAGAACAACCACAAGAGTGTACGGATCCCACTTCATCAACCCGGAACTCTTTCTTGGTCTGTCTTTCCTGGGAATTATGTGGCCACCTTGCATGAGCAACGGAATCTTGTCCAACGGTGCATCGACCTTGTGCGTCTTAGAACCGCCAGCGTAGATCGTGAAGTCAAAGTAGTCATAGTAATTCTCATCATCCGACAGGTAAATATCCACGCTCTCCCCTCCTTCGACGGTGACGGGTTTTACCAACAAGCCAGTGGAGCCGAGGTACATCTGATCGTCGATGCCAAAACCTCGTTCGTCTGATGGATGAACAAAATACTGGGCTCGCACGATAGGGTGTCCATCTGTGGCGGCCTCATGGAATGCAGTATACCATGCCGGCAGGAGTGAATAGCGTAGTCGCAAGGCCTGGGTCATGATACCGGTGTATGGCTCCCCGAGCATGTAGGGCTCGCGTCTCCGGGTGTCAATATGTGCATGGCCACGCATGAATGGATAGAAAGCCCCAGCTTGGTACCATCTCGTCTGCAGTTCTTTGCTTGGGTTACCAAAGAATCCACCGACATCAGCCCCGGCAAAGGGAAACCCGCCAACCCCTTGATTGAGAATCATCGGGATCGATGCGGCAAGATGTTCCCAATTGGCCTGGTTGTCACCAGTCCACATTGCCGCAGATCTCTGCGAGCCTGCGTAGAACGATCGAGTGAGCACGAATGGCCGCCGAATCTCTCCCTTTTTGCGTTCCAAGAGAGCGTGCCAGGTGGCGTTGTGAAAAGTCATGCCATTGAGGTTGTGTAGGTCTCGGTGCTCCCAGTTGCCGTGGTGTAGGTTATCCCTCGGCATGGTGATTTCCGGGCCATTAAAGACGGATGGCTCATTCATGTCGTTCCACAGCCACACATTTGATTGTGTGCCTTTGAATCGATCGAACGTAAATAGTGATTTCCACCAGGCCCTCGCTGCTGGATTGAAAGCATCGATCCAATGAGAGCTCCCAGGCCAACACCACCCCTCAAAGATGTTGTTCTCCTTGTTCTTCACCGCCAAACCTTTGCTCTTGAGTTCATCCACAACAAAGTATCCCTCCTTGTTCTTGATGTGTGGGTCGATGATGACAACCAGCTTGCGCTCAGTCTCATCAAGCTGCTTCTCCATCGATATGGGATCTGGGAAGTTCAACGGATCCCAGGTGAAATACTTCTTATCGTCCGTATATTCAATATCAAGCCAGATGACATCGTAGGGGATATTGAATTTGTCAAACTTCCGATCAACATCCTTCACGTCCTCGTCGCTGACGTAGTTCCACCTGCATTGATGGTAGGCAAGGGCAAACAATGCGGGCATTGCGGTGTAGCCGGTAAGCTCACCGAATGACTTGGAAACGTCTCCAGGCATGGGACCGAGCATGACAAACACGTCCAGCAGACCGCTTTCAGATATCCAGTGTGTATGGGTGTCTACAACCCCGCCTGTGAGGCCCAGGGTGAGCGGGTTTGTGTCGTGTTTCGACTTGACAATATCCACCCACGTCTCAGCCGCATTCAGCCAGAAGACACCAACTGTTGAGTCCTTTTTATGAGCATGCATGAATGGTATCGATCCGTACAAGGTCATCGGGGAGTCGAGCTCGTATTCGAAGACGTCACTGTTATACATCCGGTATGGTTGGTCGTAGTTCCCATCTCCACCACGGGTCTCCTTCAACGACAAAGGCCCCGCGTGCTCTGGGAGACCGTACACGTGCCCGTAGCCAGGGAAGGTGATATCCAGCGCAACACTTTCCGGTCCCTTGGGCTTCGAGTCAGTGTTACCCCCAAAGCTCTCGTCCCACCAGGTGCCTTCATCTTCCGCTGCTTCGATGGGCTGTGCTTCGGTACTGTTCTCATCCGCAGTAGGTTTCTCAACCTTGGGCCGCCAATGCTCGACATTCAAGAAGCCTCGTCCATTGAACACGACATGTTTCTCTTCACCGGACCAAAACTCTATTCCAAAGGGTGCGTGTCGAATAACCGCCTTGAAGTGGCCGTTGGCTCCCCACGATACTTCTGTAACATCTTTCGATACCTTTTCCATTGAAGCGGTCGTCTGAGGTTGGAGACCGCCTCCGGTAAGGGCCCAGGCAGCGGCTTCATTGTATCTCTCCTTCCTGGCGACACTGCCGTGCCGCAGCTCAATCTCACCTTTCCTCCTCTTTTCTTCGTCGATGGTGACACGAACGTTTCCGTGGTCAAGGAAAGTTATCATTAAGGGCAGTTTGACTGCGTCACCATCGGCCAGCGATTTGATAACGGAGCCATCCATGCGGCCATCCTTGAACTTGATCGAGGCCGCATCCAGTTGGTAAGGAGAGGATTCAGGGTTGCCCTTCTCTGTCATGGAATCCGCAAGAGCTCTATTTCTCTTACAGAAGCCAGACTGGTCACAACGCTTGAAGTCGTGGTGTTTGACCATCACTGTGATCTGTCAACATGTATATCTCACTAGACCGGTTCGCATGTAAACACTTGCCTGCAGGAGACACGAAGAACAACAAAAGCAGAAAGGAGAGGCATGAGATCGGCCACGACGGCGACCTCCTCGAAGACCGAGCCATTCTTGTGACTGAGACTTGTTGAAGGGCCCAGTCTCGCAAAAGGTACCTAAGGTATCCAAGTCAAGGGTTGGGCGTGGTCGTGAGATACTGTGCCAGCAACATGCAAATGTGTCCAGTGTCAATAGGCCCGAGATGTGCCTGGGACTGGTTTAGCTTCGCCCAGAGTTCCTCTCACTAAGCGGACCCCTGCATTGACCCAGGGAGCCACAAGCTTTGCCCCTCCAAACATCACCACTTTTCCCCCCACCCCATGGAACAAATATTTTTGTCCAGTTCTCTTTTCCGTTCACTACACTGCCTTTCTCTCAGTCACTCTATCCTCAGAACCACGCATCTTTCCAACATTTCCAAACGTGCACATCAAAATGTCTTCTAGCGAACAGACGTAAGCACACTACACTGACCAGTGGCTCGGGTCCAACATTAACGTTGTGCAGCTTCATTGCTGTCAAGCCTGATGGCGTTCAGGTAAGAAAAATCCGTCCTTCACGTCAGTATGGTCTTGATATTGACAATACTCACCAGCGTGGCCTTGTTGGCGACATCCTGAGCCGATTCGAGAAGCGCGGGTGAGCGAAACTCTCCATACTGAATAACCAAAAAGAGAAGAGCCAGAGACTAAAGGGCGGTGAAGATACAAGTTGGTTGCCATCAAGATGGTGTCCCCTTCCAAGGAGCACCTCGAGAAGCACTACGAAGACCTCTCGGACAAGCCTTTCTTCAAGGGCCTCGTTAGCTGTATGGAGGCTCTCTACAAGTGGACATCGAATGAGCCGGCTGACAGAATATCGCAGACATGTTGAGCGGTCCGATCGTAGCCATGGTCTGGGAAGGTCGTGACGCTTGCAAGACTGGTCGATGTAAGTTGCCCAAGACCTTGTGGAAGGATGCATAATACTGATTGCGGCTGCAAGCCATCCTCGGTGCCACCAACCCTCTCGCTTCTGCCCCTGGAACAATTCGAGGTGACTATGCTATCGACGTCGGTCGGAATGTCTGCCACGGCTCCGACGGTGTTGAGAGTGCAAAGAAGGAGATTGCACTGTGGTTCAAGCCTGAGGAACTCCAGAGCTGGAAGTCTGCCCAGCATGACTGGATCTACGAGAAGGCATGAACAACCAGTCTCATCAATTCGCACGCGAACTATGCACCTCCGAGCTTGGGCCACTTGGATATGGCGCCTACAACAATGTCAGCGACAGTGATGAGTCCCGAGCGAATATCAAGAGATAGACTTACCGGACCTGAGAAATGAAACAAAATGATGATTGCATTACAGTGTTCTGTTGTTTATTCAGTGTCCCACCAGCTACCACCCCATGATCAAGTCACAGCAAGGTATCATTTCGTTGTTCTTCGAAACAGTGTTTTTGTGGCATTCCCAGCCGGAATGATGGCGATCCGTGCAAACCATGGCGAGCCCCAAACGCTAACGAGGAGGCGCAAAGGCAACAATACTTTCACCAAGGTGTACGCGGTCGCGAACTCGACTACCCATCTTGTGGCGCTTTCTCCTCGATTGAACCACCGCGAGACTGTTTCTTTGTGGCTTTCAAAACTGTGTGCATTGCCCTTCTGTGTCTCCTCTTCAACTCTGATCTCGTCTTTTTCAGTGATCCACCCTTTCTTCCGAAAGTATCGCGCGAACTTCTCCACAGCTGCAGAGATCCAAGCCCCTTCAGCAAAGTAGGGAGGGAGCCAGTTCCAGTAGTGGAAAGCCCCTGCGAGACCGAATAGTGGTATGACCGCTGTTATTTCATGAAGGATAATGAAGGCTGTAATGTGTGACACTGGCGCTTGTCGCAGGCCAGTGACTGTCGGTCGGAGGAACCTCGGGGTGCGTTCAATAAAGCGATCGAAACGAGTTCTGAGGGCAGCTTGGTCGTCTTTGAGCTTCGGTGATCTAGGAGGTTCTGTTTTAGGGGTGGACAGCCAACGCCGCAGAAGAGGATTTCGGGTACGAGGACCGACGGCCCTGCTAAGCGAGTGCTTGAGCATCGTGAGGATGTCAGGTCGCAGTGAAGAAAAACCAGCAACCAGCAACTCATGTTGTCCCTGCGCCGTCCTCGTTGATGGGAATGCACCACCGTAAAATCAACGGTGGATCATATGTAGTAACCTCATTCATGTCGAGATCTCCAACTGTTATCAGTAAAGTCGCTCTTGTCGCTCTCTCACTGTTTTAGACGCCGCTCCTGTCATCACTGGGACATCCATAGTCCTACCCACATCTTGCAGGCAGCCCAGATACATGTCTGGTATGTCCACGCAAGCGACCGCGTAGATGGACAGGCTGAACACGACGAACTCACTCCTAGCGGGAACATTGGCACCAGGCTGAAACGATTCACAATATATATGTTCGATCCGCTTTAGAGTCATCACAGCTGTCCCCTTTGGGCCTCACAAGTCGCAGAATTTTGGAATAAGTACTCTCATCATGGATCAGCTCGTTGCCGAACTGGTGGACCATCTCTGTCTGTTCTTGGATCAAAACTCTCTGTGTTCGTTCCGCCTGACTTGCAAGGCATTTGGCGCCATTGCCGAGGAGCATCTCTTCCGTGACTTCGAGTTTCGTCTCTTCCCCAGTCATCATAGACTTTACCAGCTGGAGCAACTGGCAGCTACGCCCTCGATAGCCTCCCGCCTACGTTGTGTTTCTTTCGAATCTGGTATCCAGCTGGAATACGCCGACTATCGATACTGGCAGGCCGAAGTGTATCACGACAAGCAGAGAGCCTGGGAGCGAAGCCTTGTTGGTGCCACCAGGGACGATTACACGCAGTTTCATGAACGTCTTCAAGCCAGGTTCACCACCGACCTAGCTCGTCGTTACGATCTGTACCGCTGGCATCTCGATCAACAAGCAGCATCCATGGCTGAACCCCGTGTGAGAAATGTCCTCATGCGGGTAATCGGCATGCTCGGGGAGTCAAACTCAGCCCTGCGATTCAAGCTGATCATGGCCGAGCCTCAAATCCGGCTGGAAGAGCTTGAAGCATTCGATCCTGAACAGTACGCAAATGACAAACCCTATGATCCCGATCCGCGGCGCAGAGTTGCAAATCGTCGCCAACACTGCCTGGATCACTTTGTCAATTTCCTCCAGGCCGCGAAGCTTTCGGGCTGTGAAGTGGCCGACCTCACTGCAATCGACATCCCCCAGCAGCTTCTTGCCGTGGGTCCTCTTCATGGATCCCATGTGCTGGAAGAGACTTTTCAGGGTCTGAAGAAACTCCGCATGAAAATCAGTTCCTTTCCCCATAGTGACTGGCTTTCTCGTAGTGGAACTGGACAAATCTATTTTGGCGGGAGGAATGTGGCTGCAAAAAGCCTCAGGGTGTTGTTGAACCAAACCTCGCAGCTGGAGCACTTGGATTTGGAATTCCCAGCTGGGCTCGAGGCCGAGTATTCGTTTGATATTTTTGATAGGACCAACATCGACCGCTTCCCCCGGTTGTGGCTCCCACATCTCAAGTCTCTGACACTCAGTCTTTTCAGGTGTTCCTGGGCAGACTTGAAAGCTTTTTTGGACGAGGGCAGGAATCTTGACTCATTGGTGATGAAGGATTGTCGACTTGAGACAGGGTCGTTGATAGATTTGCTCGAGTATCTGCGCCGGAGACGCCTTGGGAAGGTTCAGCTTCTTGGAAGCTGGTATGTCGATGTAAGTTGGCCCCAAACCCTGGCGCACTTGGATGTGTGCTTTGTGCCAACGAATTTTGTCCTTTTGAAGCCATTTTGTTCATGCTGACAATGCTATAGGAGGACTGTGGTGAATGGCATTCGCACAGTGAGGAAGATTTCACAAGCTGCTTTGCGACAAACTCATATGAGGGTCCCTATGCTCATTCAGGAATGCGGTTGAGGATAGAAGAGTTCATCACCGGCAAGGGAGAGTGTCCCTTGCCACGGTGGGCAACAGAAGATGACCCTCCTCGGCTGTGGGAAATCGAGTCGGATACGAGTTGGCACTTTATTCCGGGACAGCCTCATCGCTAGACACGCGTACTGGTCCAAACGGAACTGCCGTCGGGCAATGCAGGCTGCAAACACGTCGTAAGGCTGTTCTTCACTTACTTCCCCCGTGTCGCTGAGAAGACAACCACATTCATGAATATTGCTCGCCAGGTATTTATGGTTGCTATATATTTCAGTTATCAAAGAACCCCCCTTGTCATTGAAGTTCGCTCGCCAGCGTAAACTTTGCCGATCTCACCAAGTGACTGCTACCGTGGCCTGCTGCATCCACCTCTGGGTGGGTGCTAGGTCTTGGGGATCATCAATTTCCTGCCTTGTTTGGATTGGGTCATACATGTACGAGTGCTTTGGCACAGGTCGAACGCTGCTGCTGGGTGTTTTGACTTCGTCGTGAGTCCATCCCATTCGGCCTTTTGAGGCAACCGTTTCAATGAGATTGGATAACCAAATGTATCAGGGACTGCTCAGCCTCATGAAGCGCAGTCTTGGAGGACTAGACATAGCACGATCGGTACCAATATACCAAAGTCCATATTTGTTTCCAGACTCGAGCATTGAACTGAGTCATGACTAAGCCATGGTGAACTTGTGGCTGTCACCCATGTGCCGACCAATCATAAGATACTGGTGACATGGAGCATCACGTGCGTTCAGCCACACAACCCCAACATGACAACCTACTGTCTTATTGTTTGTTGTCGCCCGTGGTCAATCTTGACTGTAAGATTTTGTTGCTAGGAAATACGCCTTGCCGACTCGCTGCCTTGGCTTCTGTGGATCGGCCGTTTCGGTTGCGAGTAGAGACGGAATGCGCCGCCGCTTCGACGTCTATCAGAACACTATCCCTTCTCCGGACTAATGTCTCCCACACCTGTGCGAGTCGCACATCGGGCACATCGACAAATACCGAGAACCCCCTTGAACATGAGGCAAGTGGTCGAAATGCCTACTGATTCTAGGTAGAGGCGTGATTTGCTGCCTCGCTAGTCGTGAAGTAGCAGTTACATTCAGATGCCTTGTCTTATCACCCTTGGGCAGGCATTCCGCCTTGAGTCTTGGACAGCACTAGCTTAGCAGCGCCCGTTTTGAGGCTTGGATGGCAGTCGACCGGCGTGATGTCGCGTACCTAGCCCATCACTAGCCTTGCGGCGGTTCGCCAGGTTGTCTTGGTTGCCCTCCCATTGTCACTGGCTGAAGAGGTGTTTGTGTTTGCGCACACTGTGCACTAGAGGGGTGGACAATGCAAGAACCCAGTACTCTAGAGTCCGACCGTTCCCAGTACAAGCATTGCGGGCGAGTGCTCATGCGAGGCGTAACAGATTTAAGATGGTGGTCTGCCACTGTTGGGTGAAAGAGGTGGGCTTCTCAATTTCTACGTTGCCTCGACTTCGAGGTCCTGCTGGGAACGCGCAGTATTTGAGGGATTCGTACGACGATTCCGGGTCGAATAAGGCTCAAGCAGCTTTTCCGGATGGCGGCGGGGTCTTTTCTTCATTTCATTGCCCTCCTGGCTGCCTCGACCTTGCTGCTGCACCAATCCGTGGCGCAAAATGTCTCGCTAACGGTCGACGTTGATGCCCTGAATCCTTTAAACACATGTAACCGAGGGTACGGAAAAAGTGAGCTCATACCAAAGATACTAGTCGAAAACAGACTGATCAGGCTCTAGTCGTGACCGTGGACAACAAAGTCTATATCTACGGAGGAGTCAGCATCGTTTTAAACGGCACGACCAACACCTTGTGGATACTCAGTGAGCCCTGGCCCCTCTGCCGTCAAATGGCCTTGAAGTGATGTGATGGAATTTATTGTAGACCGGTACCTTCGCACTGTCGACTTTTCAAGCTCGCGCGATTTGTCCGATCCTTCTCTGATCACGGTCGAACCTCTGCCCGATTTTGTGCCAACTTTTGACGAAGGGGCCTTCTGGGAAGACGGTCGGAAGCTCTATGTGGTGGCTGGTCTGCAGGGATGCTGGTATCACCTCACGGACCAGGGAACGTTCGTGGACTCGGACTGGAGCCTTGCCGAACTGTCGGGCCAAAGCATATACTATTATGATGTTGGGTCGGGCCAATGGTCGGTGGACACTGCGCTGCAGAACAATTCGCAGACGGGTCTTCCGATAGAATCGCCATTTTCCTGGAACTATTACGGGTGGAACTCACGTCGTGCAATAGGTTACGTTCACAACGGCATCAGGGCCGCCGGACACAAGCGCCTCAACCCCAACACCGACGTATACATTCTTGACCCGGGAGTTTACCAAATTGGGGAAAAGTTCATCGCGTCCTTCGACACCACTGACTGGACTTGGACCAACAAGACTATCTCGTCGGACCTTGTGGAGGAGTGGAGTGAACGTGGCAACTTGGTGTTTCTCCCTGGGACCGAGTCAGCCACGGGTGGACTGGCCGTCGCCCTGGGAGGTGACACAAGACCTGTGAGTGCGGTTGCTGATGTCGCGAGACTCTTGAACCCTTGATTGACCCACGTACCGACGCAGAGCACCCAATATTTGAGCTTGAGACGAATTCTCATGTACGATTCCGGGGCAGACGAGTGGTTTGAGCAAGACACCACGGCCGAAGGGGGAACGTATCCCGCGCCAAGAGGCTCCTTCTGTTCTGTCGCCCTGAGCGCGGCGGATGGCAGCAGCCACAATATCTACATATATGGTGGACTGCAAGCCAGCAGCGACGACGCGCTCGGTGATATCTGGATCCTCACGCTGCCGGCCTTCCATTGGATCCCTGTCAGCGCAAGCTCGGTCCCGCGGTCTGCCCCGGCTTGTGGCGTGGTGGCGGATAGGTATCTGGTCACATATGGCGGGATGCTTGAGTCGATCAAATGGCCGATCCCGTCGCGATACGAATGGCCATGCGATCAAGAGCAATCTGGTCTGAGATTGTTCGATATGACACACCTAAATTGGACATCGACTTATGAAGCCCCGCCTCAGGTGTCTTCTGGGACGTCGAATTTATATGCCGTCCCCAGCCAAGTGTACGGCATCA